TATATATATATATATATATATATATATATATATAAATATATAAGTATATATCCACCATAATTCATAATTCATAATTGAACTTTAAATCGAATATATGCCAAATTTCAACTCTGCAGCCCTTTAACTGCCATGGCTTCTGAGACACCTGGAAATGCATTTTCCGATCGACCACACCTCTAGTGGGCGGATCACTTTATGATTCCAGGGTATGCACGAGTATGTACAGTAGAATGCGCTTAAGAATGCGTCCATATAACCAGAACTGCCTATAACCATATAAGCCTGCTCACATAAGCTTGTCTGTGTAATAATTGTAAGGACGCTATAAGCGGAGTAGCCAGATTCTACTGCATATCAAAACTCTAGTTTTATAGATGAACTCTTGCTGTTCACATACTCAATTCAATTTTGTGAATGCGTATTAATATATATAAGTATGTATATTCATATATACATACATATATCTGTAATCTACTGATTAAGAAATAAAATCTCCGTTTTGGTATTTTGTCTCTTGTGGGTTTATTTTGAAACACAGCTTTCAATGCGTACGTATGTGTGAGGGAGATGTGTATATACACATACACACATATGTATGTGTATGTATGTGTGCACTTACATTCATCAATATTTGTTTAATGTGTTTTGATTTTCTTTTATTTTCGTTGTTGTTTTTCTTTTTCTTTTCTTTTTTTTTTGCGATTTTTTTTCTTTTGTGTCTTTGCTTGTCATGATATTTCGCATCGATATTTGCTGTGGAATAAATATGGTATAAATACTCTAGTATAATTTACATTTGTTTCATTCTCACTAAGAACTATCCAAAAAAAAGAGAGTGTAATTAATTACTTAAAATAAATCACAGCGTATCTAAATATTTTTTTTTTTTCATTTGTTTTTTGTCGATTTGTTGTTGTTGTTGTTGCTGATGTGTTGTTTCTATGCTTACAACGATTCAATAAGTGATGTGTATAAATATGTGATAAAAAAAAAAAAAAAAAAATTACAATGCAATGCAATAAATAAATACAATAAATAAATAAATAAATAAATAATTAAAAACTATTTTATCACGCACGCAACTAAATGAAGACTTAGAAATTAACTGGAAATGTTCAGACGAATGTCATGTAGAGCAATAAATAAATACTTGTGTATGTGTGTGCGTGTGCGTGTGTGTGTGTGTGTGATCCTAACTATCCGCTCAACGGAAGTAGCTGTGATTATACTTGAACTAGCATAAATATTAAATAAATAAATAAGTTTAAGCTCTATGCGGGGCCTGGGACAGAGGAGGAGGAACCGCTGGAAGTGGGAGGGGGGGAGAGGTCATCAATGATAGAATGGATCATTGTAGAATGGCATTGGTCAAATTCACGGTTTCAATGGTCGCGCAACTAGGAACTGTGCACAGCACTGGGAGGCGCTAATACTGGATGCAGGTCAGATGTAATTCGAGGAGGACTCGGGTGCTCCGCTTCCGCTTGCGCTGGCTTAGCAGTCGCCGAAATTGGAGCAGCCGCCGGACTGGCCCGACTGGCCGGACTGGCCAGATTGGCCGGATCGGCTGCCCTCGAAGCTCTCCAGGCTGATGGCCTGGCGGGAATTGGATATGGCCGAGCTGTGCTGCTGGCTCTCGGCGCTGTGGCGTCGCTGCTTGTGCTTGTTGAGCGCCCGATGCAGCGACTTGGACATGTTCTCCAGAAACTGAAAGTACAGCTGCTTGGTGAACTTGAGATCGCGCTTGTCGGCCTCCTTGCTGCCATCGGCGGGCGTGTAAAAGTCCAGATCGGCCTGCATCTTGGCCCGGCTAATCTGGCTGAGCTTGGCCACATTGCTGTTCGGATAGGATGCATTGATGGTCGTCTCGATCTCGCAGAGCACGCGGCGCGCGCTCACCAGCAGCTTGTGCAGCTCCTCGGTGGACTTGCCAATGGGCAGCTGGTTCTCCTTCTGGTATTTGTAGTGCGCCTTGCCCAGATACGCGAAGCTGCCCACGAAGGTCTGGATGCCGCGGTACCAGGTCTGCAGCATCACCTGTAATTGGTCGAAATCGAAAGAGAGAGAGAGAGAGAGAGAGGGCAACAGTTAGTCAATTGCATTACAACAACAACAACAAGAGCAACGGCATTAGCTAGAGGAAAGGGCAAATGCAAATGCCGTTCAGCGAGTCCACGGAAACTGGTCTCAGCCGCCCAGGGCGGAGCAGGTCTCAGTCGCCGGACAACGCATCAAACATTTTGCATATGCGCTAATTCAGCTGCTTCAGTTGCTGCTTCTTCTTCTGCTTCTTCTTCTTCTTCTTACCTTATTTGTGGGACGCGTCATGTTCGGCAGGAAGGTGTACTCGCGCTGCCAAGCCTGAATGTCGCCGTAGTCCAGCCTGGCCGCCTTACGTATGTCTTGCAGTTCGATGAGCGTGTTGTTGCGCAGCAGCTTCAAATACTGCAAGTGAGAAAGAGAGAGGGGGAGAGCATTGTTTAGCTATTGTCTATTGTGAATACAATTGCGAATTGTGAACCAGTTTCACAGTTTCGGCCTGGCTTTCACTCACATTGCGCTTGGCCCGCGCCGAGATGTTCAGCTTCTTGGGCTGCTGTCGATCCGGCTGATAGACGCCGCCGCACGGATTCACCCACTCGGGCGCCGCGTCCGTCCGTGCAAAGTACTGCAGCGCATGGCTGCGCCGATGCCGGATGCGCTGCCGCTGCAGCTCCCGCTTGACGGCTTTCATAGCCGCCTGTGTGATCTGCTCGTAGCTGCTCTCGCTCTCAGCGTCGGCGTCCAAGACGCTGCCGCTGCTGGCGTCGCTGCTGGCGTCGCTGCTGCTGTCGCTGCTGTAGCTGCTGCTGCTGCTGAAGCTGTTCTCGCTGTTCTCCGCGTAGCTCTGCACCAGGCCATAGAAGGGATTCGCGTGCCAGGCGGGCAGCGCTCTGCTGCTCTCGATGCTGTCGCTGCTGGCGCTGCTGCTGCTGCCGCCGCCGCCGGAGCTGTCCGCATCCTCGTAGGCAAAGCCCAGCGCCAGCTGATCGTGCAGATGGCGTCCGTGTGTCAATGGCAACAACGGCAGCAGCGCGGCCAGCGCCAGTAGCACCGTATAGCTAGCAATTCTGTTGTTGCCCCTGCTGCAGCTGCAACTGCAGCTCTGTGCGTTGCTGGCGTTGCTTTTGCTCTGGCTGTGTCTCTTGCTCGCGCCGTGCTTTGCTGCAAGCGGAAAATGTAATCAAAATTAAATGTGAAACAAATTGAAATGAAAGAAAATTAAGTTACATATATTCATTAATGGCTTCACTTTGATCTTTACCCTGGCACATGAGAGTTTGCTCGCAACTAAACTAAAATTCCAATTGCAATTGATAAATAATTAAATGAACTCGACTCGCGTGCTCGTTCGATCGTGGCGTGCGCGCTCTGCGGCCTCTGCTCGACAACTGGCCAGCTGCGCACTCGCACAGCACTCGCACAGCACTCACACTCGCACTCACACTCGCACTCACACATTGCACTCGCACTCAATGCGCAGCCTCTCGCCTTTGAGTGAGTGATAAGCGGCTCAGCCTCCAGCCTGAGAGCGTCGCCTCTGCTCGCTTTTAGCCAAAACAATTGAGTGCAATTTCTAGCTCTCTGCATGTGCGTGTATGTGTATGTGTGTGTGTGTGTGCTTGTGTCTTATCGAAATTGTTGAACGGCATTTGGCTTTGTCATCCGGCCAATTGAGCTTCGCTTGAATTTCACAAGAAATTTGTCGATTACTCATCGAGCGCGTATTTTGGGTTTTTTATTTCATATGATTTTCGCTTTTCGTATGCTGCGAATGGAGATATTGCTTAAAGGCAAAGTTGCTGTCACAGCAGCGACGGCAGCGGCAGCGGCAGCGACGGCAGCAGACGCTGACCAGACAGACAAGTCGCGCGCAACGGCGACGTCATCGTTGACCAATTGGCCGCGGGGCAACGCGTCGTATGAATAATTCATGCACAATACAAAATTCATTCAAGAGCAGCGTGCGCTCGCTCGCGTCGTGCCCAGTCGTGCCCGGTCGTGCCCGGTCGTGCCTTGTCGTGCTTGACTATCGCCAGCAACAGCAGCGGCGGCAGCGACTACGACAACAGCATGCACGAGCACAAACGTTTGCTGTTGCCGTAGGTCAGCAACTTTGCATGCGATAACAACAACTGGCAACGGCAAACGCCAACGGCAGCAGCGACGGCAGCAGCAGCAGCAGCAGCGGCAGCGGCAGCGGCGGCACACGTGCTACGGCTCATGTGTCCGCTAGAAAGTTCCGCTTGAGCCGCTGCTTAAGCGCGGCTTATTGAAGTATTTCATCAAGGTGGAATATACCAGCAATATATACATATACACATACACATACATACACACACATATATTTATTGATATACTCCCATATTAAGTCTTATCGCAGTGTGCAGAAGAACCGCTAAACATGTGATTCGATTAATTGAATGATTATCTAGCTAGATTAAGGCAGCGATTAATTTGGCTAGATTATAGTCATTGCACTTTAATCGTTGGCCAATTTGAGTTGTTGTTGTGGTTTTTACCATGCTAATGATGAGACTGCTTTCAGCTATCTTCTGCTTCTTGATGCTCATTCAAGAAAGTGAAATGAGTATATTGGCTTTGTTGCAATGCTCGCCTATCTATCTGTCCGTCTGTCCGTCTGTCCGTAGAAGATTCCAGATCTAACTCGATTTATTAAGATATTCCCAAAGCGCCCACTGGGGGCGTGGCTTAACGAAAACTATCGTCATTTTATGGTATTTCAGTGACTATGAGAATGCTCTCGAGTTGATAAGATCTATAATATATATGCCGGAGTGGGCGTGGCTAAGCTGGAAAACTATATTTCCTTTCATTTGAGACCTAGAAACTCTAAATTGTTCGACTAATTCACTATTGACTGCGCTCTATTGATATGCACACATAGATTTGGGGGAGGGGGCGTGGCAAATCGCATGAATGACTATTCTGCAGTCGTTAAAGCCCGACTGCAATGCTCGCACTTGCTCTTTTACACTTTGTCTTCTTCTTCTTCTTCTTCCTTTTTGGCTTGTTTGTTGTCTCTTGGGTCTGTATAAACAATGACTTTGGGTTGGGGAACTTCCCGAGGTGTTTGGTCTAAGCTGAACGCAAAGATAATTGTTCGATATATCATTAAGTGTTTAGCGGGCTTTCAAAGTTTTTATGATTGTTTTACTTGTTCATTTTTTATGATTCGAACTTTGTTTCGGTTTTCTATTTTGTTGTTGTTGTTTTACTTTGATTTTTGGCTTTCTGGGTTAGTTCATCGCAGCGCTGAGAACATCGCTTTAAAAATGATTAAAATTTCACCACCGTCGAACGATCGTAAATCGTGGTAAAGCCAGTTGAAATTTATTTGCTAGCCGGTCTATGGAGTACTTTGGACTTGACACTCTCTGCTCGTATGAGTTACTTACTTGTTTGGCTCATTTTAGCGGCTGTTGTTGCGCTTGTTGTTGTTGTTGTTGCTGTTGTTGTTGTTGCTTAAATTAGTTGTTGACTTGAATGTCTTATAATACTGAGCTGGAGGCGCGTGCACTTGCCTAATGCTAATGACTTGTTTGTTTTAATTTGTATTTTCAATTTCAGTTTCAATTTCAATTTCAATTTCAGTTAAGGTTTTCGAGTTTCAGTTTTGAACTGAGTTCAGTTCGATGCGCTGCGATTCGATTTGGTTCGGTTCGATTGGATTCGCGAGCCGATGGCGATAATCATTGGCGTGCGCCTAAATAAGACTGATTCATGGTTCCGGCGAACACATTCATTTATATTTATACTTCCCAGATTCAGACGCTAGCAGTGGCAGCGACAGCGACAGCAGCAGCGGCAGCGGCAGTAGCAGCAGCAGCAGCAGCAGCGACAGCGACAGCGACACCGACTGAGGCGTGCGAGAGAACAAATCGTAATCGTTATATGCTCATAATTATAATCATTATTTTATGGCACCCCCCCCCCCCCCCCCTCCCTCCATTCGTCCATCGAGCACCCTTCTCTAAGCTAACGCCCCATTCGCCCTTACCTACCTTAGCCCCACCTGCCGCTGGCCCCATCAATGGCCCTCTCCTGCCATTCATAAGTACACATACATACATACATACAGACATATGTGTATGTATATATGTATATGCACATATATTTACCCCTACCACACATTACACACGTTAGGGGAACTTTTCAGCTCAATGGTGTCAGCAGCTCCTCCTTCGCCGCCAGCTTCGCCCTTATCAATGACGCTGAGCAATTACGTCAATGTTTCTATACTTCGATCGGCTGGCTCATTCTTAATATTAACTTCATTGATGTAGCGTAACTGGAATTCAATTTGAAGTTACACGACTCCTGACTCACTCACATTCATTGAGACATCCTCTGCAACTCTCATCGTTTATTTAGCCGCCACTTGTGGAATTTCTGAATGGAAACATGCAACAGAAATCAGTTCAACTGGTTTGTAGCTTTTATTATTATTTGATTCCTAATTTTTAATTTTTGTTATTGGCGACCGTTTAAGTCGCCAGCCATGGGGGTTTTATCTAACCTTGGCTCTTGCATTCGTTGCAATTCGACAAATGCGGGAGTAGTGGGTGAATTGAGGGTCCACCAATTCATTTTGCTCCGTCTCAAATCTATATATTTATTTAGTGGTGTAGAGGCTTTCAGTGTAGAGCCTTTCAGTGTAGAGGCTTTTACTGTAGAGGCTTTCAGGGTAGAGGCTTTTAGTGTAGAGCCTTTTACTGTAGAGCTTTTTACTGTAGAGCCTTTTACTGTAAAGCCTTTTAGTGTAGGGGCTTTCGGTGTAGGGCCTTTTATTGTAGAGGCTTTCAGTGTAGAGGCTTTCAGTGTAGAGGCTTTCATGGTAGAGGCTTTTAGTGTAGAGCCTTTTACTATAGATCCGTTTACTGTAGAGGCTTTCAGTGTAGAGGCTGTTAGTGTAGAGCCTTTTACTGTAGAGGCTTTCAGGGTAGAGGCTTTTACTGTAGAGCCTTTCAGTGTAGAGGCTGTCAGTGTAGAGCCTTTCGCTGTAGAGTCTGTTACTGTAGAGCCTTTCGCTGTAGAGTTTGTTACTGTAGAGGCTTTCAGTGTAGAGATTGTCAATGTAGAGGCTTTCAGTGTAGAGCCTTTCACTGTAGAGACTTTCAGTGTAGGGCTTTTAGTGTAGTGTAGAGGATTTTAGTGTAGAGCCTTTCAGCCTTCTGTATAGAGCCCTTTAGTGTAAAACCTTTCAGTTAGAAGTCTTTCCATATGAAGCTCTTCCATGTAGGCCATTTCAGTATATATCTTTCAGTGTAGAGCGCTTCTGTTGGAGGCCTTACAATGTAGAGACTTTTAGTGTAGAGCCTTTCAGTTACAAATCTTCCAGTATAGAGCTCTTCCATTTAGAGCAGCTTTTCAGTATGAGGCCTATCAGCATGGAGTCTTTCAGAACAGAGCCTTTCGATGTAGAGCCTTTCAATATACAGTCTTTCAACGTGGAGCTCTTCAGAATGGAGCAGTTCAGTATACCGGCCGTGTAGAGCCTTTAAGCATGGAACATATCAGCATGATTTCTTTCCAAGTGAAGTCCATCAGTACGTAGCCCTGCCATCTGAAGCCCTTAGACATCACAGAGCTCAAGCTGAATTCGTTCCTCAGGGGTTGGTTGTTGTCACCTTGGGTGGCAATGCCAAATTGCTTTCTCGCACTGGCGCCTTGTAGAGCAGCCTTTAAAGTAGTGCTTGGACCTTTTCCCTT